GCGCTGCGGCCTCCGATTGCGCCCCAGTGGGGACGACGAAGATGCTGGTGGAGCGCTGCCAGGTCACGTCGTCGCAGTGGCTGCCATACACGGTACATTCCTGAATAGAGGATAATCAATCGGTGGCCCTGATCGGGTTTCGCCAGCATCGGCAGAACGATGAAACATAGTCGGCGCGGTAGTAGCCCAATCCGCCCGCAGGCCTCAACAAGCGCCGCCATTGTCTCAAACGCCTCTCGAGGGAGCAAGCCAAAGTGGCGTGGGTGGACACGGTCGAGGCTCGCTGTTGTGACATGCGGGAAACTGTTGGCGACGCCTCGGGTGGTCTCAGGATCGGCTCGCTCCATCGCTGATCTGCATGGCGCCCAGGCTTGACTTGGGAACTGGCTAGCATGCCACAACTTCTCGTCCTTCCGCACCTCAGCCTCGACTACGTCGCGCGGGCGCGCGGAGAGACCCCCAGTAGTTCGCACAACCGCGGGGCGAGGCGCGTCGGGCACGCGCGCGGCGCGGTGCAGCCCCCGAGCTCCATTGCACGCTGCCGAATCACACCAGCCCTGCCGCGGTTGGCGGCCACCCTGTACATCGCCCAGCTCAGCTCGCCGCGCATCGCTCTCGACGTCGCTGCAGAACTGCTTCAATATGTCGGCCGCCTGGCGGCAGTCACGGCGGGGGCGAGGAGCAGCCAGCGTCTCAGAGGCTGCGTAGTCGAGGTGCTGCTGCGCTAACGAACTGGCGCACGCCGATGCCTGCGCGTCAGGCTGCGCGCTGAGGCCGAAGAAGACGTCCTGGTCAAAGCCAGGCTCCTCAACGTGAAAACCAGACACTTCCGCATGCTGGATACTACTAGCAACGGTGGGCGGTGCTGGCATAGGACCACCCATCCCCGCTGCTCTGACTGCTGCATGACCAACGGCAACCCGTGCCTCCATGACGCTGGAGCCCAGCCGTGCCCATAGCATTCCGCCGACGAGAATAGCTCCACCTCGGCTTCAAAGCACGGTATCATGGTGAACTTGTGATCCATGAGCTTTCATAGACTCTCCAGTGACTGGGCGAGCCACATGCACCCACGGGAGACCGCCTTCGCGTCGGAGACGCTCTCAGGTCGGTGGTTGTAGTCAACCATCTAGCCTTAGGCGGCGCTCCCCACGTAGCACTGTTCGACGGTACTTGCCCTATGGCCGCACTGACCTCCTTCTCAGCAGCAGCGGCCAACAACTCAACTGTCCAGGCCCCCCATAGTAAGCCCCAGGCTTCTCGCACTGAACTCTGGCGGCTGGCAGACGCGGCAGCCTCGGCCAACGTGCGCGGGCGCCTTCAGTCAGGACCTTTACGCACAGGGCCAACGATACGCTCAGTGCCAAATTGTTTCGCAACTGTGTAGACCAAGCACTGCTGCCTCAGACCTTCCGTAGACAGGCCCAAGGGAATGGGTCGGCGCGGCCGCTTGGCCCACTTGGCATCAACGAGCACGGACTCCAGCAGCCCCCCGGCCTCTGCGTTGACTGCAAAGACATCAATAGCGCGGCTGGACTTTGGAATGACGCACGCGCGGGGGGGGGGGGGGGGGGGGGGCGGGGAGGCGGGGGGGCCGCCAGCGCCGACCTGGCCTCTCCCGGGAAGCATGGCTCCTCAATGTCCCTCGGGGTCGCATTCCAATCACCCGCCAACGCAACTGGATCAGCCAGCCGAGCAACTCGAGCGCCGATCTGGCCAAGGGCGCGCGCACTCCTGCCGCGCACTCCCTGGTTGACCACGAGGTAGAAAGCGGCAGTGCGCATTGGTGGCCATCCTGGAAGGCGCGCGACTACACGCAGGGCGCGCCTCTGATGAATCACGGGAGGGTCACCGCCAGGCCCTCGGAGCCCAACGTGCTCACGAGCGAGGACTGGAACTCCTTTGGCGGGCGTAGTGCCTGATGCCTTGGCTCCCGGGCTGGTCGGGCACCACCATCCTCGGCGCCCTGCCCATGCAACGAAATCATCATTGTCATTGCCAGTGAAGCCGATCTCCTGGGCAACGAAGATCGTCGCCGCGGAAGCCTGCGCCTTTCTTTCAGCGCACGGATGCCACGGTTGGCGCTGCAAGACTCGACGAAAAACTGGCTACGCGGATCAGCTTCAGGCGGCGGCCGAACTTGGCCATGGCGCGCGGGAAGGCAGCTCGCGAGGACGGGCGGGCCACAGCCGCTATCGCTCGTCGCTGCGCACGGCCACGAACTTATCATGGAGCGGCCGCGTGAGCTCTTGGCAGCCCTCGCTGGCGGGAACGCCGCCCTTTGCAGCCAGCTCGATCACTGCCAGCGGCAGCCCCTTCACCAGGAACAGGATGAGCACCAGCTCCAGGAGTCTGCTGCTCAAGGGGGCCCCTGCTGCACGTGGGCTCTGGGCATGAGGCGCGAGCTGCCGCCTTGCGCATATGGCATTCGAGGCCCGCGAACAACTTCTCGGCGGCCTCGGCGCCCGGGGTGGCGAGTGCGCTACGGAGCTCCTCCGAGAGCCCCTCCTTGGTGAATTTGAAATATGGCACTTGAATGAAACGCTCGGGCGCCACGGCCTTCGCAGTCTCAGCAAATGCCTTCTCGTAGTCTTCAATCTCCGCCCGTTTGGTCGTGATCGCTGCCTTCTTGTTCTCCAGGGCTGCCTGGGGATCTGCGACTTGCTCTTTTCATCTTCTGAGCCTCATTCCGGAGTTTGACCAACTGTGTCTGCGCGTGCTTGAGCTTGTCCTGGGCCCGACGGCGCGCTGCCTCAGGCGTCTGGACGCTCTCCAACAGTACGCGGCGGGTCTCGAGCTCAAGCTGGTGCGCCTGCTTGACTGAAGCAAGCAGATTGGGCTCCTTGAGGCACTTCTCATAGTACGTGATCGCTGCGAAGATCTCCGCGCGCGCAGCACCAGCATCCGACTGGGCGGCGCCGCTGTCACCTTGGGCTGGTGGCGGGGTGCCGCTGATGCTGACGTTGGCCAACTTGCGCTCCAGCTGGGCCACCTGCTTGCGGAGCTCGGCAGTCTCGCCCCTTGCCCACGGCGCAGGAGGCTTTGCGGCGGCCACCAGCAGCTGGCCCCCCCCCTTGAGCGGCAGCCTGCTCTGCCCTGGCGTGCTCCACCTTGGCCGCGGCGATGATGCGAGCAGGGGCAGCGCGCTCGCACCTGCACCTGGCGCGGCTCGCCCAGATCTTGTCCGCGCCGCAGGCGCAGCCCAAGAACGGGAGATCGGGGTCGCGGAGAACATCGGAAAGCGGGGCCATGGGGCTCGCGAGCCCTCCACCTGCAGCTGGAGGACCCCTGAAAATTCTGATATTCTGGCTCGGGAAACAGAGCAATCCCACTTTGGCACGAGGGCGCGGAAGCCCTCAGGTGCAAGCATCTTGAGCCAGAATGGCTACGGACGTTGACGACGAGGAGAGAAAAGGAGGAAGAGGAAGAGGAGGAGAACACCTGGAGCAAGGGGGGAGGGGGAGGGGGGGGCGCAGAGAAGCAGAGCGGCGGCGAGGGCTGGAGCAGCAGGCACGGGGGCGGGAGAGGGAGGCCCGGAGGCCCCCCAAAAAGGGGGCCCGGCGGGGGGGGGGCTCAGGAGGCGCCCAGAGGGAACGGGGCAGCGGGACAGTCAAGGTGCAGCATCCGCCGAAACGAACCCTAGCCGCTAAGCAATGGAGGGCGGTGCCTCAGAGGGGCGCCGCCAGGTGCACACCGAAGACGAGCACAATGAGCGTGGGGCGGGCGCGCTCGGCGCCCTAGACGCAGAACGGCCCAAGCCCCGAAACCGGAACGGCAACAGAAACTTGTTTGGTCTGCGGGTCGAGAGCGAGCCTCTTCCGGTTAAGAGCTAGGCGGGCCGCGCAAAGCACTAATTGGGGAGACAGAACACAGGCGGGCAGGGCCTCAGGCGGCCGGAGGGCGCGGGGTGCAGGCGGCGCCGAGGAGCTTGCACAGGAAAAGGAACGCCTTGGACAGGAGCCGGAGGCGAAGTCCCAGAGGGTGAGCGGCGTGGTGTTCCCGTCGACGGCGCATCGAGAACACCATCCTCAAGTGCTGCGTGCGGATGGACGTAAACAGGTCGACGTCCAGGGGGAAGAAGTCCACCATGAAGGCGATGAGCAACGTTGTGCCACCAGATGGTAAGGAGGGGCCCAAGATATGAGAAGGACCACGAAGGCGATGTGCAGCGTTGTGCCACCGGGTGGTCGGAAGCGGCCTGGGGTGGTAGTCCAATCCACGTCCAGGGAGCAGCCACGGCAACAGAAACAAAAAATGCATGATCCTGGGAGGGCAGTCTCGGGAGGCGGGAGGACGGGGGACCACGGCGACGGAGACGACCAGAAACGCCTGAAAATACGACGACGACAAACAGGAAGACGACGACGCTGGAGGACGACGACAGATGATGACGACGACGAAAAAGACAGCAACAAAACAACGAACATGCGAACAATGAGAGAAACGACAACGATGACGACGAAACAACTACGGTAGCAGTACGACGGCGCGAACAAAAAAAACGACGACGACAAAGACTAAGACTAGGACGGACAGCCAAGTCGACGAGGACGGCGACGAAGATCACTACTACCAAACAGCGAAAATACTACGAATGACGACGACACACAAACAGAATCACGACGATGGTCAAGACGACAACGACGGAGGCGACGAATAGAACGGCGCACACACTACGACGACGACGCAGAAAAATAAGACGACGAACAGCACGACGAACAAGACGACGGCGACGACGACGACGACGACGACGACGACGACGACGACGACGGCAACGGCGACTGCGACGGCGGCGGCGACGACCACGACGACGACAGCGGCGGCGGCGGCGAACGAAGCAAAAGAACAGCAGCGGCGACGACAACGGCGACGACGGCGGCGGCGGCGGCGGCGGCGAACGACGCAAAAGAAGCGCAGCGGCGGCTGCGGCGGTGGCGGCGACGGCTGCGGCGACGAACGCGGCCCCCCTCGCGCGGCAGGCGGCGCTGGGAGCCGCGGGCCTGCGGGAAGGGCCGGCGGCTGGCGGCGCCCGAGGCCCCAGGGGGTGAGGGCGCTGGCGCCGCCCCGCGCCCGGAGAGGGAGCGCCCCTCGAACCCTTGGGGGGGGGGGGGGGGCGCGGCGAGGCGAGCGGCGATGCCGTGCCGTGCGCGCGTGCGGAGCGCCTCCCAAGGAGGACCGCGGGCTCAAAATCAAAAGAGGCATCATAGCCTCATCAGTCTAGATTGATCCACTCACGGATCCACTGCAATTGCTTTCCATTGAATTCATTACATGCGTAGCATGCTCTCTCCTCAGAGCGTGTCGGTCCATCTCCGCATGGGCCTATGCGGTCTTCTCTCAGCCCCTTGGCTACGGGGTGGGGAGCCCTCCGTTGCAGCCAATCCCCGGCCACCGTGCTGATGCTGAGCCACGCTGTCAATGCCTCGCTGCCCTGGGGCTCTGCTGCGCTCTTGCTCGCTATGACGCGTGTGCAGAGGCAGCCTGTCAAAGCCACGCTGTCCTGTGGCTGTGCTGCGCCCCTGCTCTGAACGCACACCGCTGGAGGCTGCAGAGTGGGAGATCCATCCAGCAAATGACGGGGGGGGCCTCCGCTGCAGCCGAGACGGGCCTCCTCGGCAGGAGAGGCCTCCAGGCGCCCTTCGGCGGCCCTCGGCGCTCGCCCGCGCCCGCGCCCGGAGCTGGGCGCCCTCGGTGGAGCTGCCCAAACGCACACCCTCAGGACGACGTGCCCCAGGTGAGGTGCCGCAGCGGCCACGTTTCGGGCCGCGGCCTGCGCCAAAGCCCAGCCTATGGGCGTCCCGAGGTGGGCCCCACGGCCCCTCTCAGATGGCGACGACCGATCCCTACCCCCACCAACCATCGGTCCTCATGAGTGGTTTTTTCATTCGGCGTTTCGACATTGGGCGGAAGGGGGGGGGAAGGGGGGGGGTCTGGCTCCAGGCCTCTACTTAGTGCGATAGTTTGGAACCGTGCGTCCTCTGGGGGAGACCCCACCCGCTCGACACAGCTTGGGGGCCCTGGCGAAAAGGGTTCCTCGAACTCTATAGCACTGCGCGCGACGGGTTATTGATCTCCTCAGGCCTCGTCTCCAGCGCTAAGCCTGCAGCTCCTGTGCCATCAAGGCCATGGCGCAGGTACCCGTGGCAGGCTCGAGGAACTCTCTGCTCTTGGCCAGGGTGAAGATCCGCATCGGCCTCTCGACGTTGTCTTGCGGTGCACGACCTGGCCGCGATCTACGCCAGGCGTTCTCGCCACCTTCGCTCTCGACTCGTCGTCTATGTACCTGGATCACCCGTCACCCCGTGCATCGGCGCCCCCGCCACCGACATCAGACCGCTGCCACATGCGCGCGAACGTCAGAATAAGGGGTGAGCGCCGCGGGGCCCGTGAGTGACCCCTGCCGTCACTGGGATGCCCTAAGCCAAAAAGAGGACGACGACGACGACGACGACGACGACGACGACGACGACGACGAGGACGAGGACGCGGTGGCGGGGAGGGAAGGGGGGAGGGAAGGAGGGCCTTCGGCCTCTCCCCGGAGCGCGTGAGCGAGAAAGAGATAGAGAGAGGGAGAGAGAGAGAGAGAGAGACGCAAACCATTCAACATCGACCAATTCTGGATCGCCAACGGCGTTGCACGTTGAACGCTGGCGGTGGCGTGTCAGCCGCGTCGGCGCGACGCGAACCTGCCGTACCCCAGAGACAGCCTCGCCCAGGCCTCGCGGGGAATCGCTCGTGACCAGACACGCACAAGGCGCCTGGACCCCTGGTATGAAGAGTGGTGGGAGAGGGGAACACGGAGGGAGAGCGTGGAGGCGAGAGAGGGACGCGATGAGAGAGGAGTCTCAAGGGCAGATCGACGGCGCCCAAGTTGCAAGTGGCCCGGTCATTCTGGCTCCGAGGCTAGGCGCAACAGGCGGCTAGTGCTGGAGGGTGCTCTAGGTTGACCTAACACCAGCAGTGACGCCGATGGCAGCGACAGCGGCAGTGGCAGAGGCAGCGGAAGCAGCAGCCGCAGCAGCAACAACCGCAGCGACAGCTGCAGCGGCGGTGGCGCCGCAGGCGCCCGCCGCAGCAGCGCCCAGCAGCAGCGCCCAGCAGCAAGAGCGGCACAAGGGGCAGGCACCCTCCGACCAAAGCTGGGCCCCCTCGCCCTCCTCCAACGCCTCGCCCCCCCCCCCCCAATACGACGACAGCGACGCCGCGAAGGATGCGCGCCGCCGCGCGTTTCCGCCGCGCCCCGAGGCAGCGAGGTCAGCCTCCTCCTCCTCCTCCTCCTCCTCCTCCTCCTCCTCCTCCTTCCTCCTCCTCCTCCTCCTCCTCCTCCTCCTCCTCCTCCTCCTCCTCCTCCTCCTCCTCCTCCTCCTCCTCCTCCTCCTCCTCCTCCTCCTCCTCCTCCTCCTCCTCCTCCTCCTCCTCCTCCTCCCCTCCTCCTCCTCCTCCTCCTCCTCCTCTCCTCCTCCTCCTCCTCCTCCTCCTCCTCCTCCCTCCTCCTCCTCCTCCTCCTCCTCCTCCTCCTCCTCCTCCTCCTCCTCCTCCTCCTCCTCCTCCTCCCTCCTCCTCCTCCTCCCCTCCTCCTCCTCCTCCTCTCTCCTCCCTCCTCCTCCTCCTCCTCCTCCTCCTCCTCCTCCTCCTCCTCCTCCTCCTCCTCCTCCTCCTCCTCCTCCTCCGCCTCCTCCGCCTCCTCCTCCTCCTCCTCCTCCTCCTCCTCCTCCTCCTCCTCCTCCTCCTCCTCCCTCCTCCCCCTGCCTTCCTAGCTCGGTGACAGCGAGGAGGGTTCTGCGCGGGAGCTCGGTGACAGCGATGGCGATCGGTCACCTTTTTACCTCAGCACGGCGAAGCAAGTCTCGGTAGCTTCAGCCGTTAAGTACTTGAGCCAAACGGTAACGGGGACACCTTCACTCCCCAGTCACCGGAATGCTCACATGTTAACACCCCCCCTCGGACGCTAGCCCGCATAGGCTGACGGGGAGGCGTCAACAATCACGAAAACAGGTCAAGCTAGACAAAACGTCGCACGCAAATGACGTTAAGCCTCAAGTCTCTTCATCACACTGTTGAATTCGAAATGTCTCGTGACGGCGCTTACGAGCACCAAGTTTCTCACACATGTAACCTGAGCTCGAGTGAACACTTTTACTGTCACAAGTTCAAACGAAGCATCTAAAGTTTACACAGCAAGCTAGCATTTGGATGATTTTGGTTGCTTTCGCTTTTTATTCGCCAATACCTGCGGTAACAACAAGAGATGCGCACGCAAACAAACTCAGCTCAACAGGCTGCTGCCACTCGATCGTTAAGCCAAGTTAAGAGGGGAGATGAGGGAGAGCGTGAACTGCAGCATGTTGACTGCCTGCCATCTTTCACGGACGGCGCGGGCGCCTCGCCGACGGCGCCCGTGAACCCCTCGACCTCGGTAACCCGCGATGGCCCACACCGGCTGCGGTGTAGGACGACACCCTGTTAAGGGCCTGCATCTGGTTGTAGCAATCGTCGTCCATGTACGCGTTAATGCGCTCCTCGTCGTTAAGCCAGCACCCCTCATCGTGGCTCTTGATTGAGCCGTCAACGATGTTGTGGTAAGTGCCGATGGCTCTCCAGTAACTGGCGTGGGGAGCCTTTAACAGAGGCCCATCGCCTGGATTGTTACGGAGGTGCTCTTCGACCGCAGCGCCGGTAAACGGGTTCACAGTCCAGGCCGGGTCGGTAAGCCAGTTGGGGAAGTCGTCGCACGGTAACCAGCCAAACCAGCAAAGCTTCTCACGGTGATCGCTTTTACGCTCGGTGACATGATCGGCCGGCCAATTATCACGGTAAAGTGCCCTCATGGATCCCTGATCGTTAAGGGCAACTTCCAAGACGGTCTGGTGCCAGTATACTGGAGGCTTGCTCATCCTGCCCTTTAACTCCGCGGTGCTCCTGACCTCGAGGTCGCCGATGTAGTAGTTACGGTAATGCACCTGGAGCCCGTTCATGCAACGGCAGTAAAGCCTGGCAAGATCGGGCGTCGCAAAGCAAATCACGGTAACTCCAGTCGAGATGTAACCGTGCGGCCCATGGGTGTCCTCCACCAGGTGCTTAACGGAGATGGCGGTGGGGTTGCCGTGGGGCAGCATTCCTGCCCACGTTAAGAGGAGGCCGTTAAGCTGCTTCTCGTTCATCTCCGGCACCTCGTTGACGTACACTTGCGTGTCCGCGCAACTGCGGTGCTCAAACCACGATGGGTGAAGCTCGTTAAGGTGGAGCGGTGGCACGTAGTCATCATCAAATAGGGACTGCACGTGCCCAACCGCGTCATCCCATTCATCATGCTTGGCCAACTCTTTGTCCGTTAACTGAGACCTCCAGTTGATCGGACCTTTCAACGCGGCATAGCCGATGAAACCGTAAGCGTGTTGGCCGAAGATGTCAACGAACACGTCCTCGCAATCGTTAAGTTCCCGCCCGGCGTTGCCCTGAATGGCCCTGCCGCCAGGGGTCGTTAACCCCGCCTTCGCCACGTGCCCGACGAAGTTACCCTCAAACTTGCGCCAGTTATCACGTGTCTTCATCGTTAAGGCTACCACATCCCTGGGATCAGGTTCCGCCCGAAAGTCAACGTCGTAGTCGTCGCTCCTGTTGTTCAGCATGGACATGCGACCGCTGACGTGGTATAGCGGGCGGTAAGTGGTGTCCTTGGCGACGATCCTGGAGCGCCTCTCAACCTGATCAATCGCGCGGTTAACGACCTGAGGCTGCGGCGGCGGGAAGTGCTGGAACGGTAACCTCTTGGCCTCTGGAGGCGGGGGCTTCGCGCCGGTAACGCTGCTTGCCGCTCCGGACTCGCCGAACCCCGGAGGGGGCGGCTTGGCCGGCCTCGCGTTTACGACGGGAGCAGGATTCTTTGGCGCCTCATCACGTTGACCACCAACCGTTCGATCCTCGTCCATCTTGATGCCTATCTGCCTCAACTCCTCCAGCTCCTGTTGACGTTCACGCATGGCCTTCGGCGCCCGCTTGTAAGCAGGCTGTGGCTCTTCACCGCCCTGCGGGCTCAACGGTGACGCTCGAATCTTGTTCGGTGACACGGACCGCCGACTCCCCCCGGCTTTAGCGGTTACG